TATCACTTGCCATATACATAATGTACTACTAGACTTTGAGTGAAACTCACATTTACGTATAGGTACACATATTATATATATATGTGTGTGTGTGTGTGTGTTCTTCATGTGCCAGATTTATAGGCATTTATCACTTTTATGTACTAATTAATAATCAAATTGTTAATAAAAAGCATGTATTTCACTCTCAGTATTTGTAATAAACAAACTATAAAATCTAAAGACTTGTATTTTCTTCTATTTACATACACGGCTGGCACATGCAAGAGATATATCTATATATATATGCTCCTAGACTTATGATGGGGTAATATTCCAGTAAACCCTAGCCTACCAAACATCCGAACTTAGCCTAGCCTACCTTAAATGTGCTCAGAACACTTACATTAAAGCCTACATTTGGGTTAAATCAACACAAAGCCTATTTTCTAATGAAGTGTTGAATATCTCATGTAACTTATTGAATACTGTCCAAAAAGCAAGAAGGAGAGTGGCTATATGAGCAACTGAAGCAGTGTACTGCTTCCAAACTACAGTGAAAAAAAATTCTAAATAGAACCACTGTAAGTTGGAGAACACCTGCCCATACCTCACTTTCTGCAGGGACTATTTTGGGAAGGTTTTGGTAACTTTCTATTTTATAAATTAAAACACAGTTAAGTAAGGAAATAACTATTTAGAGGGACTAGCAGTTGGCGTAATGGCTATGTCACTGGACTCCCATGTAGTTGACTGCAGTTCAAGTCCCAGATCCGGTGGCTTAAACTCACACTGGGTGCATGTGTGTGCGTGCGTGCCCAAGATCCCGAGAGGAGAATGGAGAAGGGATTGCGGTGTGGCCATCCCCCCTGGGGTAAGATTTCTCACTTTCTGTTTCTCGGTCTGTCTCTGTCTTTCTGGCGCACGCACGCGCCCTATAGCAAAAAACCTTTTTAAAAAAAAAAGAAAGAAAAGAAATAACTATTTAGAGAAAACCTATAGTGAATCCTCTTGTAAGTGGAAAATTATTTTATTAAGCTAATATCTCATTAATTAATGTTTTATCATTTTACACTTCTGTGTATTTTAAAAGGAAAGCGTGTCTCTGGATGTACCACAAAAGCCCACACATAATTATACATATTTTATAAAAAACTATAGCTTTATGTGAATTCTCTGACCATAATTATTATCCATTAACTTATTAAACTATAATGTAAGAATGCTCCACACAAATGTAAAGTAAGACCAAACTAAACCATAAAAAAAGTTCGCATTATTTTTAGAAGACTGCAGTTCCCCACAAAATCACTGCAGAGGTTACAACAGTAATTCACTGCAGCAACAAAGTTGTTGATTTCATCTTGGCTGAGTGTGCATTCTTGTGTTTAGCAATTAATAAAAAAATTCCTATTCAAAATATTTTATGCGTTTGGGCCAGAGGAAAAATTTCTGAGGATCTCTGACATGAGAAAATGGGGGGGGGTACACATCAGACCCCTAAAGCTCTACAAAACTGTTCAACTTCTTGTGATTTACACTGGCTATCCCTATGTTCTATAAGCTGGAATAAGATTTATACTGCTTATGGAAATACCTATGTTTTTAGTTTCATCTGTTTTTCTGCCTTAAAAAAAAAAAAAGTCACTGAAAAGGAAACCTGGGATTGGCCCTGCGGCTTAATTGTTAGGGAGTCAGATCCCACACGGCAGACTGCAGTACATATACCAGTCCCAGCAGCCTGAAAAACATGCCAGGCACATATACTATTTCCAATAGTAAGTAACAATAAATAAAATTAAATTGATAATTCTTAAAAAAAAAAAAAAAAAGGAGGAATGGGGGAATTACGGGGCCAGCAGATGATGTAGTGGTTATATTGCTAGACTCCTATATGGTCAACTATAGTTCAAGTCCCAGACCTGCTGGCTTGAAACTCACACCAGGCATGTGTGTGTGCATGCAGAAGATTCAAGGAGGAGAATGGAGAAGGGACTGTGGTGTGGTCATTCCCTCTAGGGGGTGATTTCTCACTTCCCTGTCACTGTCTCTCTGTGTCTCTCTGTCTCTCTTTGGTGAGCACAAGCGCCCTAAGGCAAAAATCTCTAAAAACAAAAAAAGAAAGAAAGAAATGGAGGGATTAAAGAAATACTGCAGAGTAACAGAGCACGAAAGTAGAGGATGAGGCAGGGATGCAAAAGCCAGGGAAATAAGTCAGTGTTCTCATATGTGAGATAACCACAAGAACCTAGGCCTTTTTTCCCTTCCTGTTTGAGAACACTGCAGTAATTTCTGATACCAAGATGCTATCTGGACCACTGACGGATACACACGAGTATTTCATGACAACTGCACTGCTCTCAAAACTGTACTTTTATCCTAGAATACTCCAAAACAGAGAACAGAAATGAAGAAAGCCATGTTAAATTCCAGAATTAAAGTCCTAACTCCAAAGCAGGTATTTGATTTGCAGCTACAGTAAAGTTTCAATGAATCCAATCAATAAAAGAATTAAGACTTAAAAAACATTCCAAAACCTTTTAAATTCAAACCATATTTATTTGCACTTTTAAGACAACAGAGGTATATTTGTAAGCAAATACAGTGTTTGTACTGGTAGCAGGTTGTTTTATATCAAAGAACAAAAAGACACTTAACGCAACTGAGTTAAGATCAAATCTATTATTTGCCTCTTGATTTCTAAAACAAATAATTTATAATCACCATTTTCAAAAACAGACGCCACCTAAGCAAATATGAGTTTATATATAGCCTAGAATGGACATCTAGGAAGAACAAAAAAAGATATTGAGTACTTTTAATACATAAGGAATTTTAAACTCCACTTAAAATTTAATCAAATTTTGGGGGTAATACATTGAAGAAGAAAAAGATACTCATTTACACCTAGTTTCCTAAAACTGAGCAATCCTCACCCCTGTAGTAAGTCATTCCTTCGGTATACTTTCCCCTTCTTTTTAGTTTTCATTTTCTTTTCTTTTAGTTTAGTTTTTGTTCCTTAAACAGGCAAAAAAAAATGGATCTTTAGTGAAGGGAGGTTGCAAGAAATAGATCTGAGTTATCTTTAGTGTGTGTTTGTGCATCTCCCCACCCACCAGTCTCCCTTCTTAGAGAATGGGTAACTTTCCCCTAAAACAAAGTAAAAACCATTTCATATATAAGAAAATTAAAGCAACATTCAACTCTTCATAGTAAGTATAATAACAATGATAATCACCTATCTATCTCTTGGCTGTACTAGTGGCACCTAGTCCTCTTATTAGGGAAAAGAAAAACTATTAAAAAAAAAAAAACTAAAGAGAAGATGACTGATACAAGGTGACTGTTTAAAATGTATGTGGGTGATGAATATCTACTCAAATTTAAAACTTACATTTCAGTCATCTGATTTAGAAAGCTTCCGCTTCACATGTCGTGGGGGTTCCCAAGTGTCGCTATCATCTGTTTCTTCTTCATCATCTTCCTGATCATCAACAACTTCCTCTTCCTCCTCGTTTTCCTCAAATAATTCTATACCCAACTCTGATCTTCTCTGTCTTTCTGCAAACCACTCCCTGACCTGCTCATAGCCCATATGTGATTTGTTAACAAGTTCATCAAGGTCTTGCTCATTAAGAAATTTGTGCTTCAGATAATAATCCTTAAGTATTGCAGTTCCAGTTTTAAATTTTATAAGCGGCGGTCCCCTGTCCCAGTTGTTAAGTCTTTTGCTCCCTCTAGGACGTCCACGTGGTCTTCCTCTTCCCCGTCCTTTGGGTCTCCCTCTCCCTCTTTTTCTAAGGGAAGACAGACCATTCATACTACTTGAATTGGCGCTCTGATAGTAGTAGTACCATTTCAGGTTTCCATTTTTCCAGGCGTAACGAGTGTCCCCAAACCAACTAACTATGTCTGTTCTAGCAAGCCCACTTTCTTGGGCCAGCTTGTCATACTCTTCTGGTGATGGCCACTGTGTTCGGACAAATGCACTTTTAAGCATGTGCAACTGCTCAGGTGTTTTCTTACAAATCTTGCCGGTACTCCCCGACTTAGGTGCACCAGATTCATCTCCAGGAGAAGTTTCCCCAGCTTCTTCTTTGGAACTACCTGCGTTATTTTCATCTATTTCCACTTTCTCTTCCTTTAAAGCTTTGGATTTCCTCTTCTCTGTAAACCAAGCATCAATCTCTCTCCTGGTAAGTTTGGTTTGCGCTCTTAACCTATTTAATTCTTCATCTGTAAGTACGGAGCTGTTGAGAAAACTTGCCTGAAGGACACGAAGCTGCTCTGCAGTTTTCTCTTTAAACTTTTGGGGAGTGAAGTCAGGAAAGGGATTCCAGGATTGTTTATGCTGTGAAGTCACAACAGTTGGGGATTCCGTGGTTTCATCACTGGAGTCTATGACAATGGTGGTAGAGGAATCGTTGTTGAGATGTAAGCACTGATTACTCTTTGAATTTCTCTGGTTGTACCTTGTGTCGCTAAACCACTTTTTGATCTCTCCTTTTGTCAGGCCTGTTATTTTCATAAGTCTGATAATTTCTGAATCATGGGGAAACTGATTTTTCAGATAGCTAACTTTTAATTCTGCCAGTTGCTCTTTTGTCTTTTTGGCCCGGATGCCAAATGAATCAGGGTTTACCAGTGCGGTTTCAGGCTTGACGTTTTGAGAAGCTGGAACTGCTGCAGTTGCTGGCTTCGTTTCTGCACTAGGCTGGGCGGCAGGTACCTGACTTTTCTGTACGTTTGTTTGATTTGGAACCCCTGCCACAGTCAAGGCAATAGGCGCTGTAACTGGCAAGGTGTTCGCTCCAGCTACTTGAGTAAGGACCAGACCTGGCTGACCAACTATTTGGCACGTCTGTAAAATAGACGGTAAACCGTTACTCCCTGTGGAAATGTGTGTAGGAATAACCGTTATGGTCTGAGGTACAGTATGCACTGTTCCATTAAACTGTTTTCTTCTTGCCTCCTCTACTTCCTCAGGAGTCCAACTGACGCCATGTTTTAGACGCTGGGCTGAAAACCATATCTTGATCTGTTCTTCTGTGTATTTTGCTTGAGCAGAGAGAACTGTAATTTCGGACATCGTTGGGTAAGGGAATTTGTTGTAGGTGTTAAGTAGAAGGGGGTTGTTATCCAGTGCAGCATTGTAGGTAGGAATGCTATTAACAGGGATTAAGACTTTGGGAACCAAATTAGAGTTCTGCTGAGCCGACACAGCGGTTATCACCTGTGCTAAGCCAGGAAGAACTGCTGCTGGGGTCACTACCGGGCTGGCAGCATTTGGATGTCCTCTGTTGACGACAGAAGTGCTGGTGGTAGATTCAGAAGCCGAAGAACTTGGATTTTCTACCAGTTCCTCATGGTCTGGTTTAATTTCATTCTCTTTCTCTTCAGGAGCATCCTCAACTGAGTTATGATGAACTGTAATCCGTTTGTTCTCCACTTTATTTTTCATCATTTTCATGATGGGAGTTTTACTGATAGATATTCCTGAAGAAGAAACTTCAGTAGATTCTGCTTGCTCTGCATTCTCCTCTTTAACAAAACTACCATCAAAAGTCAGGTCATTTATTGTTTGTTCAAAGATTGTCTGGTTATTACGTTTCACCATAGTCAACTTGAAATTCTCTTCTCCTGGGTGATATTTCAGATTATGCTCAGAAAGTGCGTCATACCTTTTGGTAAGAAAATTGCATTCTACACAAACATAGGATGAATTTAGCACTACATTGGGATGTTCCGAATCCACATGAAAAGTAAACATGTTTAGATCTGGAGTTTGAAAAGTACAATATTTACATTCATAGCCACCTTCAACTTTTTTATTTTGCTGATTGTCAGAATCTACAGATTCATGAACTTCTTCGTCACTTGAGATACTCTCTGCTCTGGTGTTTTCTATAGGGGTAAGGACAGGAGGACCTTCATCCAAATCTGATATCAGCTCAAGGTCTGGATCCTGTTCACTGGCAAGGACCATGCAGGGTGTTGTTGACTTTCGCCTGCTTGCCATTCTACTGTTATGGGAAAAATTTCAGTGGTGATTAAAAAGCATTGAGGCTTAACAACTGTTCAGTATTCTTCATTTCAGAACAATGGCTTTGGGTTCTTCAAGTCCATTTTTGTGCTCAACAAGTCTCATTAGCAGCTTTCTCATGGTGCAATCAAGTAAAAAGCTTATTGTTGGCAGATAACACACTGCTGAACTGATGAAATTTTTGAGGCACAACTCCAATTACCTACATTAAAATAAAAAATGTTTTAAAATGAGTTATTATGATCTTTTAAACAAATTGCAGTTATATTTAACTTACATCAAGTTGCTGATAGCTCAGTTATAAACATCTAGAATAAGACAAGAATTAGGGGGAAAAGTCCACTAAGGGTCAAAATAGACATTTCCATGCTCACTTACTGAAAGTCACATACTACACTAGAGGGTCAGACCCAACCTTGTTTATTTGAATTTTTTAGCCAGTTTATATTAGAAGGGAACAGGGAAAGGGCCTGCATAGGCAAGCATACTAACATTAATGTGAAATGATATCTGTGAACAAGGTAGAGGCTTTAAAACTACAAAGCAGTCACAGGTACTAAGAAATGATGGTCATTATATGTACAAGAAATACAATTCATCAGTTACATCCTTTTCTTCCTCATTAGTCCATAGCATGCTAAAGTATGAAAAAAAAAGATAAAGATGGAAATGAAAGAGCAAAGTTTCAGAAATATTACTCTTATTCATTCTTCACAATCCTACTAGAATTCTTTTTTTTTTCTTTTTCTTTTTTTGAGAGAGAGAAATTTTTGCTATAGGGTGCATGTGCTTGCTAGAGTGAGAGAGACAGATGGAAAGCAAAATATCATGCCCTGGAGGGGTGGCCATTCTGCAATCCTTTCTCCTCCGTTTTCCTTTCGCGATCTTGGGCACATGCACACATACACACCTGGCACTGAGTTTCAAGCCACCGGGTCTGGGACTTGAACGATGGTAGGTCCCATGGGAGTCCCACGCCCTAACCACCATACCACCTGCTGGCCCAACTACTAGAATTCTTAAAACACATCTAACCAGAGCATACTTTCAGGTTCTCCCAAATTTCACTAACGAAATCAGGGTCATTGTATTATTTAATATATGTTTAAAGGGAGACTGAGAATTCCCAAAAGAGCTTCAAGATTTGGTCCAATGGCTCATTTCTGCAGGATGTCAATTTTTAAATAACCAAAGAACAAAAAAAAAAAAGGTATCCTCAGGGTTTTTACTATAAAATCATAATTTTGGAGAAAATGAGGACCTTCGTACAATTGTCCCATTTTTATGGAAGAAACTGAGGCCCAAGCTAATTAACTCATAGAAGTACTTTGGTTGATGGTAAAATCATAGCTTTTATTTATTTTTATTTTTATTAGAGAGATTTTTGCTATAGGTTGTGTGCACTCGCTAGAGAGACAGAGACAGAAAGGGAAAAATCACCCCGCAGGGAGGGACGATCACATTGCAATCATTTCTCTTCCATTCTCTCAGGATTTTGGGTATGCACGCACATGTGCCTGGTGTGAGTCTCAAGCTGCTGGGTCCGTGACCTGAACTGCAGTAGACCATGTGGGAGTTCAGCGACACAACCATTATGTCATCTGTTAGTCCCCAAATCACAAGTTTTGGAGTCACCTCTGTCACTTAGTAGTTATTTGACTAGAAAACCTCCACAATTTCAACCTCAGTTTTCTTACCTATAAAACCAAGACATCAATGAATTCATTCAACAGCTATTTTCTGAGAGTTACACATGTGCTAGGCATTGTGCTAGACACTAGGGGATGCAGTGGTGACCAGTCCTGACTGTCTCCTCTTTCTGCTCCTAGTGATGGTGCAAGGAAAGCAGGCAGTAAACATGACTTAGAATCTAACTACGATCTGTGCAACAAGAGAAAAGGGGTGAGGAACTACAAGAACACAATGCAGGGGGCTTCTACTAAGGAAGCAAAAAAGAATTCCCTGGGGAATAGGAACAGTGGTTCTACACCAGGGACTGATGAAGTAGAAATGCTCCTTCACCCACTCTGACACACAGCAGGTACCTAACTGATCCTATTTCCAATCCCTGGGAAGTTCTTTTGAGAAAAGGAAAAATAACATTTAATATTATAGACACACACACACTCTCTCTCTCTCTCTCTTTCTCTTATCAAGCAACTTAATCAGCTGACGAGGCACACAAATTGAATAAGAAAGCAGGAGTAAAAATACAGAATAAGAATTTCTATGCTATGGTTCCAATTTATTTCTCTTTGTCACTGAAGTATAATGGGGCTGAGCCAGGAAAACTGCCATACAGAAATAGCTATTAGCTGACAGGCAAGCCATCCTCTATTTGAAGGTCAACTAAAACAGGGCTCAAAATCAATTTGAGGAACCCTGCACTATTTATCTGTAAGAAGGGGTTAGAGGTCAGTTGCACAACTGAGTAGCTACGTGGCTTTGCAGTTAAACACAATTAACATTAAGTTTGCCGACAAAAGGAAAAGCATGTTCTAAATGCATCCAGCACTTAAAAAAAAAATCTTTGGAAAACTGTTATCAGTCAACCTTACAGTAGAGACATATTTTTAAAAAAGATCAACTAATGGTTAAAAAATGTTAAAAACTATCATTAAAAAATGATAATCAGGGGTAATTAAGTATTACGGAAAAATATTTACTCATTCACTGTTAAATTTTTTAAACATATGAACAAAATTTGCATATTACAGTAACTGATGAAATATGTATGCACATGGACAAAGACCAGATGAGAACACACACAAAAAATGAAATTTTCACGTGAAATTATAGGTGAAAATTTTATGTGTGCTATTTACAACTTTTCTTTAATATTGTTATATCACTTTATTAGAAAATACAATAGATTCAAAGCCTTAAAATTGGGGACCAGCAGTTAGCATAATGGCTATGTCGTTGGACTCCCATGTAGTCGACCGCGGTTCGTGTCCTGGACCTGGTGGCTTAAAACTCACACCAGGCGCGTGTGTGTGCATGCCCAAGATCCCGAGAGGAGAATGGAGGAGAAGGGACTGTGGCGTGGCCATTCCCCCAGGGGGTGATTTCTGGCTTTCTGTCTCTCTGTCTCTCTCTGTCTGTCTGGCAAGTGCATGCGCCCTATAGCAAAAACCTCTAAAAAAAACAAAGCCTTTAAATTGCAAATAGAGGGGCTAGCAGGTGATATAGTGGTTATATTGCTGGACTCCCACATGGTCAATCAGAGTTCAAGTCTCAGACCTGGTGGCTTAAAACCCACACAGGGTATGTGTGCATGCAAGCCCCAAATCCTGAGAGGAGAATGGAGGAGAAGGGACTACAGTGTGGCCATCGCCCCTAGGGGGCGATTTCTCTCTGTCTCTGTCTGTCCAATGAGCCCACACGCCCTAAAGCAAAAATCTCTTTCTCAAAAAAAAATTGCAACTAGACTAAAATATTTCTTTGGTTTTTGTCTTAAGCTGGAAACAGTTTTCATCTATTTTAAAGGTATAAAGATTTCTCCAGG